TTAGGACGCATGGCTGCTATCAATGAGTGATGAGCATGGGTGCCGGGCAACACGATAAGACTCGATGACGAGTAACTCAACTACACTACGATTCCTTACCATGAGTTTCAACACGGTCCGATAACACTTCCAACAGCGCCCGCAGAGTCGTGTGCTTGCTCATCGCGGCATAGACTTCCTCAAAGTCGATTTCTTTGCTTTTGCAGGTTCCTTTTCGCCACCAGCCGGGACTTGTACCGGTCCACATTGCCAAGAGCGTCCTGCTTTATCTTGTATACCCACTTCACTCCCCCGTCCCCATTAGGGTGCCCGTCCTTCTTCGGTTCCACCGCTAAGTTAGCGCGGTACCACTACCCCGGTGCGCGTCTCTCACGCGCGGGGTATCTTTGAGCAGCCAATGTTTGCATCGTAGTATCCTCCTCGATCTCCACCAACCGAGCGCCTTGACTTCGCGCACAATGTGTGGAAGCACGCGGGGCGGCCTCGGGTCGAGCGCGCAGCACTTCAATCTTGGATCCCTTTTAAACCTGCGTGTAAACAGGTGCGCCGCCCCTCCGCCGTTTGAGAACCGTCAATGGAGTCGGAGTCAACCTCAACAACCCCGTCTCCCCCAATCCCCTCGTAAAAAATGACGACTTGGGAGATCATAAACGTATCCCGTCATGATCCAGGAGCAACCTCGCCTCCGTTCGAGTCCGGCTCGTACCCTACGAACACACGTCGCTCGCTCACCGAATCCAAGTTCCGCCTCCGCTGCTTAGGTATGTGTCGAAGGCCCTCATATGCTCGACATTCGACTTTTCACCAAAGAACGCTTCCCACGGGATTTTCCGTAGGCGCTCACAGGCGTGTGTAGTTCGCCTTTCACGACCGTTTCCGCCCACAATTCTTTGAGCAACCCGGAGCGTGGATCATCGCCCAAATCTATTACTTCAAAACCCTGGTGGAGCCGTTCCGCCAACCCGGCACTATGGGAAATCGGTAATATTTGCAAACAGGGTACGGAAAATAGACCCCGGGCACCCTTTCAAATAGCACCTAAGACTGGACGATTAGCCGGCTGTCAGACACTCTGACTACCGCGTGGGTACACGGTAGAGATCATCAAACGGTCGTGACGCTGAGGCCCAAAATTTGAAAGCTGAATGTGAAAGGCTCATGCTGAACCTCAAAATATGGTAGACACAAAGGAGCTCTTTGCCTACCTCGACCTTATTTTGAGCATAGAATTATGTAGAAACGGAAACTTTTGGCGCAGTGAAGCACACCATGCTTTTCAATACATCAAGCCTGAACTTCAAGCGTCACCTCCCTAACTCTGCTTGAGATGTTGTTTAAATCATGCATTGACACCCCTTTTTTATAGCCAAAAAGGGAGAAAATGGGGCAAATTCGCTCCGGACCATCGAAAACTCGGGGGAATATGGCACGGTCCCCCGACACGTTACCTACAAAGTACCCAAAATCACTGGGTCGAAATTGCTCCTATCGTTGCAATTTGCAGCGGCCGCCGCCGCCGATAAATTCACTTGGCCCCGATCTACCCCGGCCGTATTTTGCACCATAACGGTCGCGTGCGCGCTAATTTGAATATCTACGGCTAGTATCGAACCTACTCATTAGGGTGGCTATCAAGTCATTCGGATGTAACGCTGTCACTCGCGCGCATTTAAACGCCAACCGCGAACTACCGTTTATCGTCGAACTCCCGTCGACGTCATCCAAGGGAGTGCGTGCACGAAATGCCCAAATCTCAATTCAAAAGATTCACGACCCAGCGACCCCAGCGCTTTACGGCGAAGGGCCGTAGTATTTAGCGCAAATTTTGTATCTTCCCGAGCTCCACGGCTTGAAGTAGGGGAATTTGTGGTTTGCTCTATGACCGTATCAGAAGGTCAAACGAGCACGCTCAATCAGAGAGTGCATGCCGATACGTCAATCTCGTGGCATCTACGATACAAGCATTGACGGATCGTGACCAACGGCTGCCGTTATAACTTTACCAACTGAACGGTCACGTTTTACAGAACGCCATTTAATCATACAGCACCAGGCTTACTAGCATGGCCACACTCAACTTTGCGGCTGGTATCCATATTTCTCCACGGTTGACGATCCTCTTAAAAGGTTAATTCAATAATTTTGATTGTCTCAACGCCGTTGGCACTGGCGCTCACTGGTACAATCTCCAAGTCCGAAATCGGTCCAATCACTTTCAATCAGATGACCGAATCCATGATTTTCGACATATTTGAAGATGAAGAATGAAACGGCGCCTCATGTTGGTAAGCAGATCCGGTTTGCAATGTTTAATCAGTTATGACGTCATTTAAGTCGTCCCGCTCCAGATCAAAGCCTGGCATTGCAATTCGCCGCTAGCATCTTACCTGCATTTGCTGGTTCGGAACTTTGCGTTCAGGAGGCTGGAAGCGCTACACGTGAAACGTATTCATCAGCAATCAATGTCTGTATGGTGCACGAGAAAAAAGGCGGACTATATAATATAACAAATTTCAAAGGTTGCTCTTGAAGGAAGCTCGCCGCCGATCTCTTGAATCTTGAGCAGAATTTTCCCACTAGCTGTTAGAGTCGAAGCGTCCGATAGGATTGTGGCCTGCACAAGAGCCTCGTTATTCGGACGCACATGCGTTCTCATTTGGGATGCGCTCGCCGCGCCAAAGGACCAAGACTTGGGGGCAAAATGGATGTGGAGAAAAGTTTGGCCTGGGCCCCCTTGCGAAACCGCCAAGACGGTGGCCTCGTAAAGCTGTTGGAGCCACCATGACATCAATTTGAAGGAGGGAAATTTCTTTATACGGTTGTTCGTGAAGGCATATGCAAGCGGTAGTACAGTTTGCTAGCAGGTCCGAGCAGCTTTGTTGGTAGAGAAAACTATAACATTTACCATGTTATGTCCCAGCCTGCCCTCCACGTGAGGCTTGGCCCTTGGCCCTTGGCCCTTGGCACCTTTAGTGATACTCGCGCCGTATCGGTTCTTTTCAAGCCGGGGGAGTACCGCCAGGGCGTACGGTTTCGCTGGAGCTGTTGTAGCACATCAACCGCTTGAAACGGGGTTCGTTTCTTCTAATCGTTTGTGACTTTTAAACCGCTGATAGATGTAGTATAGATGCACGGCAATAGTGTTTGCTAGCAACTCAACAACTTTGTTGGTAGAGAAACCAATAACATTTACCGATATTCGGGCAGCCACAATGACCGTCAATAGGTTGCCGTAACGATTGTCGATCGTGCTACGCTCATGACGGGGCAAACGGCATGTCTCGCACATTTCGAGCTAGCGGCAATTGTGCGAGGTGTTGATTGATCAAAGGGATGTAAATGTTGACATCATAACTTAGCACCACAATGATGCTGTTATGCTTTTAGTTTCTCAACTCATGCGGCTTAACTTGCGTCAATTGAAAGAGCCTCCGGTCTTTATGATCTGTATTTAAAGCCATAAATTAGGGATTCCGCATGTAACTTGGTACCCTATATTGCCACGACTCTGTAAAAAAGGTCAAGTTGCCGCACGTACGGTTCAACTACGTACGCGTAATTAATCGTCCGGAAATTCCCACGTCTTGAAAATCCGATATATTCAATACAATAGTTTGAATAGTCGTTTTGTTGGTTTAATTCTGCACATAGGTTGCAGCCGTGTGTAGCAAGCTGTAGAATTGCATCAACGAACAAGCTCGCGTCCTGATTTTTCCGCGTTTTAGGGTGATGCTCCACGCCACTAACGTGGCTATGTCGTAGTCGAATCAACCGAAAGCTCTAGCATATTGAAAACACTCTATTGTTTTTTACATGATTTAGTAGGATATTGTTGGTAAGTAAGCTCAAAGAACAAATAAATATTTGCGCATTCTGCAGCCATCCAGTTCGTAGAATGAGCCAAGCTATAAAGCTCTATTTTTGCATAGCATAAATTGCATTTTTGCAATAGCCTCGACGAGAATGCTGTGGCTCGCATTGAAACCCGGGTCACAAACCCGATGCTTCCTCCGACCACCGTCGCCCACAAGCCGAAAACGGGTCTCACTAACCCGAGAAAGAACCCGAGGATGAAGTTGAAACAGTAGACGAGCTCCAGCCAGGCTGCCACGTCGAAATACCTGTACCGCCTGGTTCCCCTGGGGGACATTAGCGGGATTCTCGGCTGGAGCCTCGGAGGCCGGAACAAAATCCTCCCTGAAAGTGTCGAAGCTAATTTGCGCCTAGAGCGACGTCGAGGCCTTGTAGGCGACGTCGACGCACTCCGATGCGAGCTCCCGCAGGACGGTCACCAGTTGTCTGACGATCACCAGTACTCTGGCGTCCGGGAAAGCAGTGCAATCGAGAACGAGGCCCTCGGATTCTGCGGCCGCACTGCTGCTCAATGACACGCTAACCTGCGATCCAAATCCGACTGCGCCCTCTCTTCTCTTCGTTACTGAGAACGGCCAATCCTACTGGTCTCTTCAGAGTCAGCATTCATTCCGTGAGGAGGCGTCTCACTGTCCACATTCCATAGGTTTTGTCCGCCTGATCTCTGTTTCGCTGCTCCTTAACACCGTTCCGCTTCTCTCGCTCCCCATTCCGCGGCCTCTTCCTTCCGTTTTGCTGCCCCTGCTCTCCCTGCCGCTGATCCTGCCCTCCATTCCGCTGCCTCTCACCATTCCGCCCACTTTCCGATACGTTTTTGTGAATGGCGCCGATATCGGGGCTCTCCATTCTCAAGGGTTTGCGCAAAGATGGCGATCCGCGCAAACTGAGGGGACTCGACAAGTGCCCGGGTGTCCGACTGGCAACCCGTCCGAGTTTTCTGTACGTCCGCAGGGCAAGCCTTGATACCGGAGGAGGGAGGGAGGCCACGAAGCTGACCACCAGCCGCTCCCGGAATCCCATCTGGCAAACGGAACAGGAATTGACCCAAGAGTTGAAGGGGCACTTACAGTATCAAATTTGTGGCACCGCAAATCTACGGGGCTGGTGACACAACAAAGTTGACCACCAAGCGCTCACTGCTGGACCCCCTTTCCTCGCAAAGAGGCTACCCCCAGGAGGGCAATTGTCCGATGTCACCGTCATGGAGAAGGCGGCCCACCAACTTGATCTGGAAGGTCAACTCCCTCTGGAGAGGGCACTATCCTACCTTGTTGGAACCCTTTGGCCAGACTAGGAGCCGTGCGCTTGTAATCTTGAGGCACAGTCGAAAAGATCAGGGCTCACTACTTGGGGAGAATTTTGCTCGTCAGCTGATCAGAAATGGTCCCTTTGGTCATTCTGCGAAGACATCGAAGACGGCCTGAACTCATGCAAAGAGTGTAAACGAAGGAATAGAGACTGTTATAATTCGGTGATTATAGTCAGCCGAATTACTGTGATTAGGGTTCGGCCCGAGTTAGGGTTTGAACTAGTGAACGCCGACGTGCGTGTACGGCGGTTGGACGGTTAAACCGTTAGGCGGTTTGGAGATTAGG